AACCGCTTAGAGAGGCCTGAAAGGCCTATGAAGCGGTATATAAGTCTACTGCTATTGCTATGACAATTTCTACATGTAATATAAATAAATAAGTAGCATCTTTAGGCCTAAATGCAGTTCCTCCTCAACAGATGTCAACAGACAATTTGAGGTCCTCTTGGGCTCACAACCCCTGCTTGAATAGCAAATGGAATCTGTGTCTAAGAAGGCCTTTGCCAAAATCCATTTCGATAGGTATTTTATGAATGACAAACCTTCCACATTTTGTGAGGATATCCACAGTATATTTTCAGAATTCTAAATTAATGTCTAATGCTATATGAGAATCACCTCAGGGAGATAGGAAGAAGTGCCCACAGTCAGGTAAAAATCTGAGCCGAAGGACAATTAGTGATGAATAAAGCTTCTAGGAAATGACTTTCCCTAGTTTTCAGGAGAATAAAAGCAAGGCCAGAAAAAGGTATTTTTAGACTTGCAGAATTTTGTTACTGTAACTTTACAATAAAGCCAATCTTAATTCTCATGATTGGTACTTTTTAATGGACTACCTTGAAGGGTTGCATGTATGTATCTAATTTAGCAGAATGATGGAGTGAGGAAGCAAGAAATAAGGCAGCTATAGTAACCTGTAATTAGGCTTCCCATGTATTTGAATAAGATAACTTCTAAATGCTTCACTTGTACTTTGGGTATCTGGTGATTGAAATAAAACACAATGAACAAAGCTATTACAAATTACAAAGGAGCACTTTAATTTGTATTTTATTAATCATAATACTAATTGAATTATGGGGATATTTTTCAGTCTAGAGGAATATATTTTCTTATTTATCATGCCACAATATTTAATTAGAAAATCTTGTCAATGCTGGTCTTTTCATTTTGCTGTAATTGGCTATACAGTTTTTATTTATATTTCTTGTTGACGTCATTAAAAAACCAGAATTTGCATACAAAAATTTGTTATTAAAACCATAAGTCAACCAGTTTTTCCTTCCTCATTAAGGAAAATCTCTCCTCCAATGGTGATGTTTGCTTTGAAAAATAATGACTGCTGAGTCTGATCAATCAGCAATAGTAGAACTAATTACAGATAGTGCTTATTTAGCAACCACCGCATTTAGCAGCTGTTCACAGTTATGATAGTGATGAAAAAGTAATGTTACAACAATCATTACATTTATAACCTTTATAGGGCTGTAAAGTCAAAGGCAACTGAAGTAAGATCATGAACATAGTCACAGTTTCACTTAATGACTTATTCGTTTAACAACTGAATTGTTGGTTCTAATTCTGGTTACTAACTAGTACCACTTGTAAATTCTTGCTTGCCTCTATAGAATGGACACCTCTCCCTTCCTCTCTGCACAGATCCAAGAGCTAGGCCTGTGAACCAACAAATGGGACCGGGCTGAGTGGAGTGAGAGAGGGGTTTACAGAGTAAGCCAAAGGAAGGAATAGTTGGACTAATATAAGTAACTCTATATAGTCTTCTTAGCAAACTTTGTGCCAGTATATAATGTATAAAGTAGGACATGCGTGCAGCCTAAAGGGAATATGGGTTGATACTGTTGCTTCCCATCTCCCTCTAGTGTTCTCCTAGATTTAGACAGCATTTCTCTCCTTTCCATCTCATTGCAGGCAAAAGGTTCATGGACCTTCTACAGTAACTGAAGCCCCTGTGGCTTATGCCCCACATTTTAGGAAGCGTTAGCAAAAAAAGTTAATTTTCATATATCTAAACCAAAATAAAATACATTATCAAGTCCACTCTGTGCTTTGACCCTAAGGAAAGATTGTTTTGTCACCACTGTAGCCTTGGAATATTGCCCAGGCAAGTGTTTCCTAGTACTGTAATTGCGAATCTAATCTGCCTTAGCTCTTCAAGAATCCTTGAATGTACATATTTGCAAAAGTACTGTTCTTCTGAAGGACGGATTTCAGCTTATAAAGCGGAGGACGAGAGCTACGGACTTAGTTGAGTGCTAGCGACTTGCTTGAGTGCAGCAGTCTTCTACAGCCGTGCTCAATCTTTGGCCAAATACTGACTGAGAAGAAGCAAAGAGGACAGGTCTCACTGCAACAGCAGCTGCAGGGTGAATAATAGCTGGTCAATTTCATTTCATTCAGGTGCCTCCAACGGGAGGAAATTTCATCAATATGTAAGTAATATTTGATTTCTTGCTTCTCATTTGTAGACTTCAGATTCAACTTTGGACGGCATTGTATTCTTATTAACTAAATGTCTTTACAATCCCAGTGTTTGTTTTTCAGGTGAATTTGCTAATGAGGAAAAGAAACGTTCATTCTGGTATACAAGAAAGTTTCTTCCAACTTTGTTGGAACTGGGTCTAATGTTTAGGAACTGGAACTTTGAAAAACTTTCCCTTAGGTTTGCTTTTTGAAAACATCTTGTAAGATATGCTATTCCTTATTTCCTCTTCTGTCCTCTCCCCCACACCCCCAAAGCTTAACATTATAGGGATAGATAAGTAGTTTATCTGCGGTGTATTTGAATTTTTGAGTACAGCAAATAACTGTTGTTTCTGTCAAATCCGTTATTTAATATTTTTTAAAATATGTTATCTTCAGTTTTTAGCTTCAGGAATACAATCACTGACTTAGAAATAGAGAAGCAGCACTAGAAGGAAATCAGCAGGAGCTGATTTTTCCAACTCTTCTCAGGCATTAGTCTTTTGAGACTATTGAAAACATCTCTGTTAAATTCTCTCCTCTGTTTAATAGGTTTAATTTTGTTGCAGGTGACTAAGAAAAGCGAGATCATAAACATTAGGTGGAAACACTTTCTTCCTTCTAAGTTTTAGAGATCTATTCAAATTTCTTCCTACTTAAGGGCTAACTTGGGAAGGGAATCTAAAGTCTCATTTTCTTTAGAACAGAGCTGTCAAGCTCCTGGACCACGGGCTGGATGCATCATGTGCATCCGGGTTAGTGAAGGGGGGGGGTTTCTAATATGTCACGTGATGCTGCCATGACAATGTGAGTTTGACACGCCTGCTTAAACACCATTCTATTGAAATCCAAGCTATTTTCTGGAATCAATGGACAATGGAATCTTTCTTGATTAAACTAGAATACCTGTTTATTGGGATAACTCTGTGAAACAAATGATTCGATTTTGTTGGGTTTTTTATGTTATTTTTCAATATGAAGAACATAGTAAACTAACAGTGGATGATAGTAATATGTTAATTAGGTATTTTAAGAAGCAAGAAATACTTGCTTCTTAAGCAATACTTAAGTAATGCTTAGATATTATAAATTTGTAAGAAATTTAAAAAGTAGACCTGACTTAAAATGAATCAGAATGTTAAAGATAAATATTTTCAAAATTTGAGGCTATTTCAGAATATTTTCTCTTTTTTTCCATCAGTTGTACTTTATTTACTCCTAGGTTTTTCTTGTCTTTACAATAAACATCAAGTGTTCCCCCACCCCAACTCATTCTTTCGGTAACATATCCAGTAGTTTCTGGCACTCTTGCTAGACACCTAAAAGCGTGTGGGTGGATGTTGCTGTTCAATGATTGGGGGAGAAAGCAGGCTGCTGGAGACAGCTGATCTTCTGGAAGGAAACTGTTTCTTCCTGTCAGGGCAGCTGGGAAACAGCCACAAAAGCTATAGGCACAAGTTGCTATTGTAAAAGTGTAAGAAGTGTGGGCAATGGCTTGTATTAGGCTTCTTGACTCACTGTCTGCTGTTTGATTCCATGTTTTGTTAGACAGGTGCCAGTGCCAAAGGCATATATCAACATCATAGAATCTATAAAAGACCTTGGCCAGATCACCCAAGATTGTATGGTGTAAGACTGCAGCTGGAATGTTGCCATTTTATTTTATTTCTGAAACCCAGTTATTTATATCTGTTCAAATGTATATAAAACAGTTTATGCCTAACCTATACCAAATTTTGCAGCACAATATAATACTTGAAATAAATTACGTAAAAATGTTGACCAGCAGGTTAGTTTTCTAAAACCAGAACTGGACCACATATTTGATCTGGAGAGTGGGCAGTTTTCTAAAACCAGAACTGGACCACATATTTGATCTGGGGAGTGGGCAGTTTTCTAAAACCAGAACTGGACCACATATTTGATCTGGGGAGTGGGCAACAAAATGAAGATGGAGCTTGAAAATGGGCAGGACCAAGCCAGAGACTGTTGAGAAATAACCATTAAAAAAAAATCCCTATGAATTTTGGGCAGCAACTCAGAATGCTACTGACTTTTCCTTTCTAAGGAATGTTTCTTCCTCATCAGACCCAGACCAGCATTATTATTAAGGGATTGGAAAGAATCCCAAAAGCAATGCTTTTATGCTTTTCCTTGTTTTCATTAGGAGGTGCTAAGTTATGGCAGTGTGGATCCAAGCTCAACAACTTCAAGGAGACGCTCTAAGACAAATGCAGGCCTTATACGGACAACATTTCCCCATTGAGGTTCGCCATTACCTCTCCCAGTGGATTGAAGCCCAGCCATGGTAAGTGAGTGTGAAAACCTGATTGTCCAGCAGCATTTTCAGCCTTGCGGAGGGACGATATAGAATAAGATACATTATCTTTTATGATTGAAACAAACCTTTGTCTTGCATTATACAGGAAGCATATTACTTTAGCTGCATTGTTCTGCTCTTGAATAAGGTTTTCTCCCCTCAGATGATTTTACTGCAGTCAGTAAATGCAGTCACATGACATCACATTTTACATCACATTGCTTATTGATGAAAATTATGGTTCCAGTTGTGGTCATAATTCGAGGACTACCTAGAATTTCTGCCCATTGTGTGAACATCCAGAAATGGCAACATATGCTGCTTTTGGAAAGGTTCCTTTGTTGTCCTCAGTACCCTTCTGCTTTGTGATCCAATTTTCAGGGATTCTATAGATCTTGACAATCCTCAGGAAGGTGTCAGAGCTGCACAATTGTTGGACGGACTGATCCAGGAGCTTCAAAAAAAGGCAGAGCACCAAGTGGGTGAGGACGGCTTCCTTCTAAAGATCAAACTTGGTCATTACGCCACTCAGCTGCAGGTGAGTTATAGAGGCTGGGAGTTTGGATGGTAAAAGATGGTGTTCTCAAGCTTTGCTGTGAGCGAAAGGCACAGAGTTTTGCACTCTTTCTACCCATTCTTAGGTTGTTCACTCTTTCTTTACAGAATACATATAAACACTGCCCCCTGGAGTTAGTACGCTGTATTCGACACATCCTATACCACGAGCAACGTCTGGTGCGAGAGGCTAGAAATGTGAGTATGATTTACTTCCTCTTGCATAAATGTTTCTCCTTCCTCTATACTTAATATGTACATACACACATACACACCCACACACATATACATATTGTACATACATACATATATACATACAATACATACATACACATATACATACATACACACACACACACACACATACACACACACACACATATATACATACACACACACCGTATATATGCACCTTTCCCCCTCCCCCCCAAAAGAGGGTGAAATTCTGGGTGAGTCTTACACACTGAATACAGCATTTTTGGCCTCCAGAAACCCCACCCCTTTTGCAAAAATGGATGTGCAGGGGGTTTGGGAGTTCTGCAAAGTGCTCCTGGGGGCAGGGGAGGGCAAAAATGAGCAAAAAATGGGCCCTTTTTTGCTTGTTTTTGTCCCTCCAGCCCCCAGGAGCACTTTGCAGGACTCCCAAATTATCTGCATGCCCCATTAGAAAAAGAAGAAGAGGCGTTCAAAGAGTTTGGGAGGCCTACCGAATGCAAAAACTTCTTTTTTAAAATTTACTTCTTCAAAATCAATGGCCGTATAATCCATACTTTTTTCTATTCTTAAATTTCCATATTTACAGAGCCCTTTACTGGCCAGCAGTATGGCTGACGCCGAGACTCAGAAGCATCTTCAGATCAACCAGACTTTTGATGAATTACGCATGTTCACCCAGGACACTGAGAATCAGCTGAAAAAGCTTCAGCAGCATCAGGAATATTTCATCATCCAGTACCAAGAGAGTCTTCATCTGCAAGGTATATCTGTGGGAATAGAGGAGGAATAGTATGCCATTTCCAAGATTGTAGTTCTAATGCTAATATCCAGTCTTCATAATACGAATACTAACATATAACGATGGAGTAATAGAACATACATTTGGATATGAAATACTCCATTGTCAATTCTGGCATCTCCTGGTAGGGCTAGAACAGACCTCTGTTGAAAATTCTGCAGAACCAGTTTAAAGTGAAATCAGCTGGATGGAAGGTATTCCTTTCAATATTCTTTAACTGAATCTTTAAAGAAAGTAGTACAGGTAGCTCTTGACTTATAGCCAGTCATTTAGTGATTGTTTAAAGTTATGATTGACCTAAAAAAAATGGGACTTATAACCTGGATTCTGACAATCAGATCCCCTTCCATGGTCATGTGACTGAACATAGGACACTCAGCTGTAGGCAGCATCATATAACCATGTTTTACAATAGTTTTGCTGAAAACTGGCACCTGTTTTTTGGCAAAACTTCATCCATAGTGAGCCACTAGTTTGCTTAATGATTGTGAAATTCACCTAACATTTACGATGTTCACTTTGCAACTGTGCTATTCACTTAATGGCTGCCACAAAATATGTTGTAAGAGCGAGTCAGTCATGTGACCAATCAGTTTAACCACCATTATGACATACAATCATAATGGGCAATATGTTAAGTACGACCTCTAAAACAACCAAACAGATAAACTTGAATGAAGGAACTCTCTTCTGGCACGTGGAAGTTGAGTGCTGATCTAGGTAATTCAAGGCAAGGAATAATTTTATGCTTCCTTTCCAGCCCAATTTAGTCAGCTCTCTCAGCTGAGCCCACAGGAACGTATGGTCCGTGAACCTACTTTGCAGCAAAAGAAGTCATCCCTGGAAGCTTGGCTGCACCGGGAGGCTCAGACACTGCAACAGTATCGTGTAGTAAGTCCTTTCATCCCAAGTCCTAATTTGACTTTCTACTTCCATTCCTATTAGGCTTTGTTGTTGTTCATACCAAATTCAAAATGCTTTTTGTACTCCTCAGGAACTGGCTGAAAAGCACCAGCAGACACTGGCTTTGCTTCGCAAGCAGCAAACTATAATCTTGGATGATGAGTTGATCCAGTGGAAGAGGAGGCAGCAACTAGCAGGAAATGGCGGTCCCCCTGAGGGGCCTTTAGATGGCCTGCAAGCATGGTAGAGAGCATGAGAGGGAACAGGGGTTACAGAGGAAAGAGGATGTAGGAGAAGAGTAGGCAGAACTGGGGAGGGGGGGAATTAAGCAGGTCATCATCTTAGAATCATTATGTTACCACACATGGTCTAAGACCAGCCCTCTTGAATTCAGTTTTCTCTGACTTGTGCTCACCTCTGCTTAAACTTCCTCCACTCACCTATCTCTTCCCCAGCTCTGCTCTATTGGTTGCACTGCACTGCACTGCTTACTCCTGCTCCCCATCACTACTCCCTTCAGCCCCCAATTCACCTTCACCACCTTCTTCCTCCCTCCTTGTGCAGAGTGCAGGACAACCGAAAGGACAGAAATAGGGGAAGATAGCCAAGTGGAGGAATTGAAACATTCAGCAGTCATAAGCAGCCCAAATTTTGATTATGTCCTTCAATGGCTGTAACTTTGAGTTGCATTAATAAGTACAACTCATTCAGCGCCATTGTAACTTCCAACTGTTGCTGAACAAACAATAATCAAGTGAGGACTTCTCACAAGTTATATCTGTAAATGGTTTTTTACCAATCCCATTCTATATAAGCTGAATATTTTTCAATCCTTGCTGTGAGAAAGGAGTGTTGCCAGTGATATGTCACAAGAGGGCTTGCATTCAGCTTAACATAATGGCTGCTATAACTAGTTCCTACTTCCTGATATCTTTTCTGTAGAATTTTCAGAATTGCATCCTGGCGCATAGATTGACCCACCCACCCCTGGAAAGGAGATTACTATTAATCTGAATTTGGAGCCCTTTTTAAAATAACCTCATCCCTGCCTTCTCTTTATGTCTTCAGGCTCAGTGCTAATTCAAATTAAATTCATGGTTGATCCAACAATTGCATTGTGCGGCATATTCATAACATTAAAAATCCACAAGCAAATGAAATAATCAAATTAAAAGCCATGCTTAACAACCATATATGGCTACTACACAACATAATTTGACAGGGCCATTTATTTTTATAAGATTATCTCTTGAAATGCAAAACTACATTATATTATAAGATTGATCCAATATCCTAACTTAATTGAACACAAATAAGCAATAATGATAGATAGTAAAAAAAAGGCGAAAAGTAGCCCATAGTCTGTGTATAATACAACACTTCTCTTGAATTTATAATCTGAAGTAGCTGTCAGACAGTATAATTTAAGGCAGTTTGAGCTTTGTCTGTTTTTTTAAATGACATAAATATTCAGCATAATGGTTGAAGATAGCATGTCTTGGCATTATTAGAAAATATGTCGTGTGCTGGGATCATTTTCCATAAGACTTTTTGTGCTCCCCATCACATACTTTTTCTCCTAGGCCTCACTAATCCTTATATACATGCTCTCTCTTCTTTTTCTAATTCTAAAGTTGTTAGTCTTTCAAGAATTAATATGGTAGTCTTTCAGATGCTGCAGGATTTTTCATTGTTTCTGACCAACTAGAATACAATGAGTTTCTTCCCTAGGTGCGAAAAATTGGCTGAATTCATTTGCCAGAACCGCCAACAAGTACGCCGTGCCGAACACTTATACCAGCAGCTCCCTATTCCTGGACCAATTGAAGAGTTGCTCTCAGATGTTAATGGCACGGTCACAGACATAATTTCTGCGCTAGTCACTAGGTAGGATTGTGTTGTTAGATGTACTTGCTTCCTACAAGGGGTGTGTAGTATCTGTAGGTAGTTACTGGGATATTTTTGATATGCAAGAGTTTTCCTCTTCAAGGGATAGGTTGAGTGTTTGAATAAATGCTTTTTTATTGCTTTGGTATCTGTTGCACTTGAATATGCTATATAGATAGTCTATTTCTGGTTCTGTTAGAGTTCTAATTATTTCAGAGCCTTTGTACTTGTCTAATGGGTTATTACACATCTTCTTTTGCCTGTTGTGGATTGTTGCTATGATATTTGAATTCAACTAGTCCTTGATTTGGGACCATTTGTTTAATGAGAGTTCAAAGTTATGGCCTCAGAAAAAGTTACCTATGATCCATCCTCAAAATTACAACAGCTGCACCACCTGAGTCATGTGATCACAATTGGGGCTGGTGGTGCAACTGTTGCTTTATGACAGTTGCAGTATCTAGCGGTCATAAAATTGCAATTTGCAACCTTCACAGCCAGCTTCCGAAAAGCAAAGTCATTTTGGGAAGTTGGGTTTGCTTCATTAACTTAATGACCACAGTAAAAATGGTTGCAAAATTAGGTCTGATCCTGTGATGTGTTGAAAGACCATATTACTTGGTAGCCAAAATTCCAATCCCTGTTGTGTTCATAAGTCAAGCCTATACTTTATTGATGTCTGTCTGTCTGTCTGTGTGTGTGTGTGTGTGTGTGTGTGTGTGTTTTATTCATTGGGGTTTGTAGTTTCTCTTTGCTGATGAGATGTATATACTGAGTCACAAAAACTAGCACATTTATTTTTGCATTATTTTTCACCTTCCGTAATTAATGACTTGGTCTTTCCTCCCCCTTTCCTCTCATTATAGCACATTCATAATAGAAAAGCAGCCTCCACAGGTGCTAAAGACTCAGACTAAATTTGCAGCGACAGTACGACTGCTGGTTGGTGGAAAGTTAAATGTTCACATGAACCCACCACAAGTAAAGGCCACCATCATCAGTGAGCAGCAAGCCAAAGCTCTACTGAAGAATGAGAGTACCCGCAAGTACGTATGCTTATTACAGGCTAAGGAAGCAAAGGAAGACAGAATCCATTTCTCCTGAACCAGCTTTCTTATGGCTTGCTATCCTCCATAAGTGTGGGTTTCCAAACCCAACAATTCTGAAGGATGCTGCACTAAGAAAAGCTGCCAGAAGATGTGAAGAGTAGAAATTAATACATAGAAATATGCCATTAATATTCTTAAATAAAGACATAATCATTGTAACTTGGAAAATTAAATTGGCAAGATATTTTTACTGTTTATTCTGAATGCTAAAGCAATTAAGGGCAAGTAAATCTGAATTTCAACCCAACTCTCAGGACTGAAAGCTTTTAGCCTTCTTATTTGACTTCTTTGCTGCTCTTACAATCTGTGACTAAGCCAACTTTCATTACTTATATTCTTGTTACAGTTTGTCATTATTTGGTTGGAGAAAACTTTCTCCAGAGGTAGAAATTTTATCAACATTATAGGAAATGTTTAAGATTACCTAAAGACAAGGACAGCAGAGGAAAAAGTGGCTGCTTGGTTTTAGGTAATTCAGTGTACATTGTACATTTGTTTGCTTGTAATAGATCTCAGAATTTTGAAAAGCAGATTTTATTAAGCATGAAACCAATCTAAAATCTCCACTGGATGGAGCCATATCATTGGTATCATCATAGTGCAAAATTAACACTCTCAGCGGGAGATAGTAAATCACCAATGGTATACTGGCTTGCATTCAACTAGCTGCCATTTCTTTTTTTTTGGCAGTGAGTCCAGCGGTGATATCTTGAACAATTCCTGTGTTATGGAATATCATCAGGCAACTGGAACACTGAGTGCTCATTTCCGCAACATGGTGAGAGATGTCTTCACTGATTCACACTATCTACCTCCAGCTTCACATCCCACTGTTGTTTTTCCTATTGAAAATGTAACTAAGGAAGAGAGCCTCATCATCTATTGAAGTCCCACATTTCCTAAAGACTAATTCTAGATTTAGCTTTTAATAACTGGTGTGGAAAGTAAAGTTACTAAATAAATTTCCCTTGGAAGATCTGCCTGAGTATATAGCTGAGCTCATATTTTTAGCCTTTAGTCTTGTTATGTAGACAACTATTAATAACAGTCAGTTTGTGATCTGTTTCCTATTTCTTGTGTCTCCCTCCCTTATTATCTCATCCATTCATAGTCCTTGAAGCGGATCAAGCGTTCAGACCGTCGTGGTGCTGAGTCAGTGACTGAGGAGAAGTTCACCATTCTCTTTGAGTCTCATTTCAGTGTAGGTGGCAATGAGCTGGTATTCCAGGTGAAGACATTATCTTTGCCAGTGGTGGTGATTGTGCATGGCAGCCAGGATAATAATGCTACTGCCACAGTGCTGTGGGACAACGCTTTTGCAGAGCCAGGACGTGTGCCCTTTGCTGTGCCAGACAAAGTGATGTGGTCCCAGCTGTGTGAGGCTCTCAACATGAAGTTCAAGTCTGAAGTCCAGAGCAGTCGTGGGCTCACCAAAGACAACCTCCTCTTTCTTGCCCAAAAGCTCTTCAATAGCAGCATGAATCATCTGGAAGATTATAACAATATGACTGTCTCCTGGGCTCAGTTCAACAGGGTAAATAAGAAACCAATTAATAACCAGATTTGCCAGAAAACCACTTTGCGGGAAGTAGTTTGGCCTGCAGGCCTTTCCCATCACCGTAACTTTCTCCCCAGTCTCCCCCCACCCTTCATTTCCCATCTGCATCACTGTCCTGTGTTCTCTTTTTTCTCTCTGATGCTCAATCTACATTTGAGATGAAAAAGAGACAATTCAGTTTGTAAATGTAATCCTGAACTGTCTTGGAGCTACACATGCAGCTGATACAGTAAATGGCGAGTCATATGAATTCAGATTTATTCCATGCCATTTTCAAAAGAACATCTCTGTGTTTAAAATCACTAAACCGAAATAACTATGACTAAATGTTTCTGATAACCAGTGATCAATCCTGCATGTAAGCTTGGAGGAAGTTTAGCACATTACAGAACAACTTCAATTTATTAATTTATTAGACATATATCAAAATCTTCTTAAAATAGTTTAAATACTATCTTGTAATATCACCATATGAACTGTCTTCTTGCATCTGCAGAAATATATTTGGGGACTGTATATAAAACAAGTAGTGTACTGCATGCATGAATTTTGTATAACTTAATCAACTCTACAGCCAACTAACTGGATTCCTTTTAAAAATTGACAGTCACTCCACAGTGCAGTGATAAATAATAAAAATAAATAAAATCTTCCATGATTAGTCATTCAAATCCCCGGAGGTTCCAAAGTTTTTCCAAGTTTTGTTCCATCAGTTTGGAGTCACTTAAGCTTAAAAGAAAGTGTATTATGTTTCTGATGAATATGATTGTCTGTGTATTTTGCTATAAAGCTATTCCTTCCCTAATATACTAATGTAGGATCAGAGAAAATATAAAGACTCCCAACAACCAAAGAGAGATTCCAGAATCATGTTTTTTCTTTCTTTTAATTTAACCAGGAAAATCTTCCAGGGCGCAATTATACATTCTGGCAATGGTTTGATGGAGTGATGGAAGTCCTGAAGAAACACCTGAAGCCTCACTGGAATGATGGGTAAGAGTCCTATCCCCCACTTCCCTTCAATTTATTTTTCCCTGGCTAGATACTTTGTTGGCTGATTTCTCTCTATCGCTTCCACTTCTCTAGGGCTATTCTAGGTTTTATCAACAAGCAGCAAGCACATGATTTGCTAATCAGCAAACCAGATGGAACTTTCCTCTTGAGGTTCAGTGACTCCGAAATTGGAGGGATCACGGTTGCCTGGAAGTTTGAAAATGGTAGGTTCTTTTTCAACAGCCTTAATGCCTATTTTGATCACTCTGAAAACATTGGATCAGAATATATTGAGCTTATATTCTTTTATCTGATTATGATCTGGGTTTTTTGCAGCTGAGAGAATGTTCTGGAACTTAATGCCCTTCACCACCCGTGACTTCTCCATCCGCTCCCTGGCAGACCGCCTTGGTGACCTTCCATATCTCACTTTTGTGTATCCTGATAGACCCAAGGAAGATGTTTTCTCCAAATATTATATGCCAATCACTTCAGGTAATTGCAGAAAAGTGCCTAATTTTTTTCTGATCATTGTCTTTTCCAATAGATACATATGATCTTTCCATTCCCAGCAGAGGAACCTAAGCAATTTCAAATCCTTTTTTCTTAGACCATATAAATTGTATGACAAGGACATACATAATTTTAGAAATATCTCTGGTATTACAGGATACTACCAGAAAATGTTTTTAAATGCATTATTAAAAAGAGAGGTAAATGCCAATGCAAGGAGAGAAGGCAGTGGTACAGCTAGATAGGAACTGCATATTTCTCTAAAAGATGGAGATAGTGATAAAGACGGTTAATTGAAGTAACAGATGATGACTAGTTTTTCTTTTTCTTTTTGGTGAGGAAGGAAGAGTTCTCTTTAATGACCAGGCCAGTGTTTTTACAGTTGAATACTTGAGAAGGATAAACTGTGTTTCAATTTACTTAATTATTTTGAGCAGTTTTCAACTATAGTTATATGCAAATCTTCAACATGGATTTTTCTCAATAAAAGATTTTCAGATCAACAAGGAAAGAGAATGGTGTAGCTTTCAGAATGAATATTGTACCAGCAACACAAACAAGCCAAATTAATTCATTCCTCCTTAGGGAAGAGTTTCGACATGCATGTAATTAAAACAAAAAATAATACCAGATTACTACAAGTTTGCCTTGTACAGTAACTATATGCTTCTCTCTCACATACTCCAACTCCTTGTTTTTGCAGCAAAGGCTATAGATGGATATGTAAAGCCGCAGATCAAGCAAGTTGTACCCGAGTAAGTACTGTGGGTTGAGAATGTGCATTTTGAGTTTTTAAAGGCACACAGAAATAAGGAAGAAGTGATTTACTTTCAACTGGAATTCTCTCCCCCCCAGCTCTTTTTTCAGTTATCTTTTCAGATAAAGGTAAAGGTAAAGTTCCCCCTTGCACATATGTGCTAGTCATTCCCAACTCTAGGAGGTGGTGCTTATCTCTGTTTCAAAGCCGAAGAGCCATCACTGTCATATGACATCTCCATGGTCATGTGGCCAGCATGACTAAATGCTGAAGGCACATGGAACACTGTTACCTTCCCACCAAGGGTGATTCCTATTTTTCTACTTGCATTTACATGCTTTCAAACTGCTAGGTTGACAGAAACTGGGACAAGTAATGGGAGCTCACTCCATTACGTGGTGCTAGGGATTCAAACCGCTGAACTGCCAACCTTTCTAATTGAAAAGCTCAGTGTCTTAGCCATTGAGCCACCCTCTTTTCAGCTAGGAGTGCAATAATTGTGTTAGAACCCCCATTTTGAACTTTAGACATTGCACCTCCAAAGCAGGATTTATGATTTTAAAAACTTGACGCAAGCAATATGTATCCGGTTTCCTTTTTCTAGCTTCAGTGCAAAGATAGGAATGAGAAAAAGTTGATAATGTTAAGGCCATTGTAGCTTGATGATTGCATTTTCAATAAAAAAGAAGTTTGGTTCTCTGAGCAGTTATGCCTCTGCTTTTTGATTCTTTTCATACCAGGGCAAATGTGGAAATTTATATCAGGGAAGTAATTTGAAATGTGTATTTCTGCTTTCCATAAAATCAACTGCAAATAGTTAATGTTCTTCTTACCACTGAAGGATCCATTGGTATCAGGCAAAAATCTTTCTCTGTTTCTGCTTCATCTGTTGTAGGTTTGCTGCACCATCAGGAGATTCTGCCAATGGAGGGACTACCTACATGGAACAAGCATCATCACCAGCTGTTTGCCCTGCTCCTCACTACAACATGTACACCCAAAAGTAAGTGAGTCAAGACCTTTGCCATTGAAAGTTCTCTGCTCTTGTAGTATCTTGCATTCTAAAGTTGAAAATGTAACTAATCTCGCAACATCAATATTCCGTTTGCACGTTACTAATCTGCTTTAAGACAGAGGTTGATGTCATATCACTGCCCAGTTAATTTGGATTGGAACAGACTGAGGAGTGGGGAACAGCGTATATAAGAATAAGAATAATATTAAGAATATTAATATTCTTAATAAAAAGAATTGTATTTGAGAAGAGACAATAGTCTCTCTTTGGGTTCTTGCTGCTTTCATCGGAATAATGAAAGCAGTCTCAGAGCATTGTGCTGGGTGTCATCCCTTTCTTGATCCACTCAGAAAAAGGATAATACCTGCATTGAAGTGCCGCTTGCATTATTTTGACAAGTCCCTTTGGGGAAACGAATGGTGAGAGTTTTCCTAAATCTCCTGATTTAAATTACCACTAAACAGCTATTTGGAGAACTGTGTGATATATGAGAAGGACATAGCATGGGAAATGTTCCTAGACATCACAGTGGCAAACATTGCAAAGGTAATTCTGCCTAAAAATTCTCTCAACTCTCCAATTGGTTACTGCCACACATGGAGAGAGGTTGTGTAGACATATAGTGTTCTGTTTTTGAATGCTGTCCCTGTGCAGAAAGGAAAAATAATAAACAGGGAGAAAATGAAGTGGCACAAAAAGTATGGCATACCAACATCTCACAATCCCCAGAGTTTCCGCAGAATGTATGGAGCTCAGATGTGAGTCCTATGGAGAGGATATTTTAGAGTGTGATTTTTTTAGGGCTAAATAATGTACCTTAAGCTTTACAGATTCTTAAGACATCCATTTACTCTTGCAATGCCTTCCCCATTTGTTTTCTGTCTGTGGGAGTGTGCATACTTTGGGAGTGTGTCCTTCAACATTCCACACAAATCATTTTGCTATCCTTTAATGAACGAAGGTTCTGCACCTTTGCACTGTATCTTGCCATTTCCTATTGAAATAATTTTTAAATTTACATGAGATTCCTTTTTAATGCAAAAGATCATCTTTTTAAAATGACCCTATGCCCACTTATCACAGCCTAAAATAGTAAATGCATTCAATCCAGACTTTTCCCATCTGCTTTTGCTGCAAGTATAGTCTGTAATCTAAACTCTATAGGCATTATTTCACCTTACCTTATCCCATTTGTCAGTATTTCCCTAGTAAGAACAAAGATGAAAACATAAAAAATAATATCTGTGAAGATTTTTTTAAAATATAAAGAATTAGGAAAAGTCATTTCCCTTCCCCTCTCTAAGCTGGAGGGGCAAATGAATGAGTTTGAGAGGACTGCATACTTTTCTAAAACCAGATTGTTAGAGCTTCTTCCAAACAGCCTCTGGGGAAGTTTTCAGAAATAGCTTTTTTTAGAATTCGGAGTTTTTTCATGTTGCTCCTTTCTCTCTTTCTCAGTCCTGACTCTGTGCTGGATCCAGAAGGAGAATTTGACTTGGATGATTCAATGGATGTGGCACGACATGTGGAGGAATTGCTGAGGCGCCCCATTGACAGCCAGTGGATCTCCCATAACCAGTCTTGATCCTGCTCCTTCCCTGGAGAGACCATGAGGCAACTGTGAAATATTAGAAACCCTTCCCTGAGGGAGTTTGTAGCTGCTGTAAGAATGGGTTTCCTCACCCTGTGGGGGGCCTCTGGCTGAGAGGGTAAGGTACCTGAGGGATAGTAGGTGCTGTTTCTTCCCTTGCCCATATGGGGAAGGCAGTAGAGTGCTTTGCTTGATTTTCCATCTGCTTTTCTGAAAAGCTTGCCTCAGGCTTTCCGCTTCTGCATAAGACTTTCTCCTTCTGCCAAGCTACCATTTCATTTGTACTAGGAATCCTTCTCTTTCCTCCCCCCACCCTCAATGTATTACATTGCCCTTCCTGTCTAGAAGCCTTTTGGTATCTGGGACAAGAAGAGACTGAGCTACGGAGGAGTGTAAGCCTTATTCAAACCCTTGTCATTTAGTGTCCGATTTATTACTATTCTTTATTGCTTCCAATATAAACAGTATGCTTATGCCTGCATTTGACTTACACTTCCAGGGTACGTGCCTACATGCAGCCTTCTGTGTAAAAGAGGCATTCACTTTGGGAGCTCTTTTTTTGTTTTTAGCCTTTGATGCATTGCAGCCTAACCCTGCCTAAGTGCTCTGGAGCCTTTTTCATATGCCTAACCACTCACTTCCAGCTTTTTTCAATTTTCCTTGTTGCGAGATGCTTGCTTACCTCCAAGCTCCTGCATTTAGTGCTATTGGCTTTTGATATGTCAGATGCTTTTTTCCTACGAATCACAAATACATCAGATTGTGGAGGATGCTTTCATTTAAATACAGAATTACAATTAGTATAATGGTTTCCCTCTTCTTGAATTTGAGGGTAGTGACTGGGGAGCAGTTCGAAGGATTTGACTGCTAAGTACAGAGGGAAAAAGACATTTTGACTCCTAAATGTCCCAACAAACTTTTCTATTCTCTTCCTCTCACCATGTCTCCCCATTAGGCTGAACAACTGGGAAAAAACAGATTCATATATGCACTATTTTTATACCTAGTATTCAGTAAAGCTCAGATTATTTTAACAGTTACAGATTTTACACAAATATCTGTGGACCGGGTGCTATATTTTGAAAAATGGTCCAGTTTCCAGTCCAGCCATAATTATATTTTTGTTGGGATTGATAAATCACCCAACAAAAGTCATGAGATGCAGGGGGGAGAAAATGCCTAAGGATTGGGACTTAGTGTTTGCAGGGTTTCTCCTCCTCTGTTCATTGAAAACAAACACATTTTTCAAGAGCTTATTTAAAAATATAAAGATTAGGTACTTTTATCTAAGCAAAAAAGTTTGCAACAGTGGGGCTTAATTAATTTTTATTCCTCAGGAACTCACCCAACTTCTGACTGAGCTAGGAAAAAGCATGTTATATGCACTTTGCCCTGGCAGTACCTCTTATAACAACTGTTTGAAGGTTAGAAAATATACATCTTTAGGGTAAACAAAGTCTAGTCACTTGGAAGTCATCCTTAAAGATCAACTGTTGTTGAAACAATTTCTTGCTTTCTGCTAATACTCTGTTTTCAAACAAGTCATTTCTAGGAATAACTATGATACTCTTTAGAATAGTGTATTCATTATAGTGGAATCATTAGTAAATGCATCAGTAACTATTGTCTTTGGAAAATAGATCCCCTCCCAAATAGCATTTCTGTTGCAGATCTTTTGGTGGTGGGTTAGTTGCTTCACTACTGTAACTCACTATTCTTACTAATACCTGCAATATAAGTAAATTTCTTTCCTGACTTCCTGAATTATTTTGAAAAACTGATACTTATATATATATATATATACACATAAGCCTTTTCTTCTGCACAAGCATATACTGCCTAGTATTTTTAAAAATTCCTTCTAACTATAATACATTTACTTCCATCTTCTTTTACTGCACAATGATACAGTCATTGTGGGAGAGTCAGCAGTAGTATCTTTACAGTATTTTTAGTATAAGTCATAAGAAAGTCCTGAGGACATGTGCCCAGGACCATACAGTTATTCTGCAGTAGTAATTTAGCCTTTAGCACAAATTAAATCTTTGAACTTTATTTACATTAATTTCAATTTTTTCATTCATAGTTTTGAAATACTTGATAGATGCCTTTTCTCTCTCTCTTTTTTTTGATTAGTCTTTTCATTGCCTTTATTTGAATGACTGTGGGCAACAATGCTTCTCAAATACCACTTTCTAAGCTGGGATAGAATGTTCCTGGGAAGTATCATTTATATCCAGTTCAAAAACTTCTCAGATCTTAGGCCAAACTGGTGCCCTCCAGATGTAATGGACACTAATACTTATCATTCCAGCTAGCAATTTATAGGGGTGGCTGATCTAGCTGCAACTTCCTTATTTTATCATCCTTATATGTTAGCTGACTTTCTTTCAAACTAGTTTCCTGTCTCAGATTCTTTTGAGTTGCACACAAACATCCCTACTGTCCTTAAAGCAAGTATTAATTAATAATTTTTTGTAGTTATTGTATCAGCACAATCTTACAAAGTCTATTCTTAATTATCAATGGGATTAACTTCCAAATAAAAATGCAGAGCATAGGTGGTAAATCTGCAGTCTCCCAGATTTTTCAGATTGTAGTTTCCAGCATTCTGAATTATCATGATCAGTGGAAAGGGCCTGCAAGGAACTTGCAGTTTTCACAACTATATATGAATCACATAAATCATGTTATACCATATCTTATTGTAATGATAAGTCATAGTGGTCTGGTTCACATACTGTCTTAAGCCATAAAGTATGGTTCAGGAATCATTCTGTGAAGTTTGTACTCGTCTAAAGTCAAATCAACCAGGTTATGATATAGCACAATGTTTTAATATATTTGTGGTTCTGTTGTGTCTATAGTAGAAAACTGTCTCCAACAGAGGAGTATCCATTTCATAAATTACATTTGGGATTTCTGCACAAAAAGGATACATTCTTCCCTTGAATTAATGTCCTTTCCTGGTCACAGAGGCGTTTTCCACATCTGCATTGTTTGCAGACTGCATAGCAATTCAATATCTGTACCCACCAATGTGCTCATCAATATCTCCTTTTATATCTGTTAAACTTATTATACCATTTGACATTTATTTTTAAAAAGAAAGAGAATAAGACACCGGAGTTCTCTAGCATCATCTTTGTTTCTGGAATTAATTCTGGACTCACATGGCTGCAAAAACAATTCTTAGAGATGATGAGTAGATAGCCCCAGTGCCCTGGAAAAATGTATATCTCTCCAGGGAAAAAAAACCAAGCAGCTAAGTTAAGGTGCTAAACTATCAGACAACACAATCACCAGTTAATCTTGGATAAATGAATATTTGTAAGAGGCTATTTGTACATGAGCAAGTCTGTTTTGCATCTTCTTTACTGAGCTTGCTCACAATAGGTTTCAAAATCTCACATATCCACAGAGGCTCCCTTCTGCCGGTGAGTTACATGACCTGAGGTTTTATTGAGCCCTTTCCTCCATAACAAACAACAGTTCCCACCTTAACTGAGTTGTGTTCCAATGCCATTGGTTGCTCTTTGAGAGCAGCACATAGAACTGACCCATACAGATGCTTTCTGTTATACAGATTGACATGCCCACTCGAAATAAAAAAAGATCTGCAACAAAAGCATGTTGTTAATGTTAATGGTGCTTCTGTTTAATTTTGTAAAAATTGCACATACATTCTTGGTGGACTGTTCCTACTTCACTTTCATTAGTCCAATGGGTCTGTCTGAACAACTGTTAAAAATATGGCTACTGTTTCATAGTGTGGAGGGAGGGAGATATCCATAAAACTGAGACATACAAACATTGCACTATTTTAAAGAATTGTTTTGCCAAATGTTTAAATGGTATACAAAGTAAAGTTTTCTGCTAAATATATTGTTTGTGTTTGAAAAAAAACTTACGAAGCTAATGTTTTCATTTTTGTTTTAAACTATAAAAGGGATAGCAACCTCAAGATATATTGCTTAATTAAGTTTTTTTTTGACACAAAAGCCATCTATGTGGAAAAAAAATCTTTATTTTGATGAAATATCCATGTTTTGGAAAAAGATGTTGTAATTTTTGTGCTACAATAAAGTATTGTAGGGAGGTTGTGACTAGTGTGGTTTTTAACTCAGAGTGTCCAGTACACTCAGCAAGAAAAATATTGGTTGAGATATTCACAACAAGAAACATGAACTACAGAGTTGTACGTTAATAAATATTTGCAAAAGGAGCCCTTGGGCCAAGTAGGAGACACAATGAGGCACCTGTGTATAGGTAGTACATCACATCAGTGTGGCTGTTTCATTTGTCAAACATGTGACACATTTCACACACCTGTCTTAATGCAATTTGATTTTTTTCTCCTTCAATAACTTTAATACATACCTTTTGACAATTTCAACCTTTGTGTACTGTAAAATACAATGTATTTCAAAGTTGTACCACTATTAGCTTATTTGTCGGCTGCTATTTAAAAAACAACCAGCTGATATGACATTTTTTCCCAAATAGCAACTATATTTTCCTGTTTTCATTTTGCTGCTTTTCTCAGGCAGCAGCTGGATTTTTTTTTAATATGAAGCCTTACATATATAACAAGTGTTGATACATATTGTGCCACATAGAAAGCAGTTAAAACTATTGCTTTTTAATAATTTTTTATTTTTTGGTGACTTAGTTCTTTACATATGACAAGTCAGCTACATTACAGAAAAAAATGATACCTAATGCATATTAGGTTTGTATTTTAAGGCAATAATTCAAACAATTCCGTAATGCTATAGGATATCATAGCTTACTTTTCAATGGCCATGCATAGATCTTAGTAAACTTGGATGGCCCCTTCTATGCCTTCTGTGCTTCAGTTCCTTATTCTGTTGTCACCATTTTTTAGTAAACAAATGAAGAGGAAAACATTCAACTTAGAAAAAATGAATGAGATTTTATAAATAAGAATAGATGATGAGTGGGTGGGTGGATGGATTGACTGGTTGATAAATGGGGCAGAATTGTAGCACAGTAACACACATTGCTACATCCTTTGATTAGTAGAGAATATTGCCTTTCCCAAAGCAGATAAATCATACATTTCTGACAATCATTCTTGGACATTTGGAATAATATCACTAAATTTATCCATCCAGAACATTATCTGATTCTTTGGACATTCTGCCTCACTATTCGCTGTCCCTGAATAGTTACTCTATTCTGTGGAACAATAGGAACAAGTGTAAAAAACAGGCCAGCATTCTTCACTTGTATTCTTCTAAGTATTTTGCCTTAGTGCATTGGACCCAGCACTAATACACATTGAGAATAAATTAAAAACAGCCACTTGCATTCATTTTAACTATTTGCTTTAATTTTGCTTTGTGTGAAGGGCATTCTGACAGTGGCTATATAATGCCTGCTGTATTGTGAGCCAAAAGTGCTCACATTGAATGTGTATCTGTACTTTTACTTGTTTCCCATTCCTGCAACAGAAAGTTAAAAAAAAATCCAGTCCCTGCCATTTCATATATTCACAATGTGGTCAGCAGAGAGCGCTCAAATGTCAATATTTTTTCACCCTGGATAGGCTATCTGCGTTAACCTATAGCCATGTGGTTTGTTCTCTCTAACATATAATGGGCGAGATGTTCAACTCTCTCCAATTTCAAATGTGTCAAAAAGAGTCCCTCTTCTCCACAGCAGAATGCACAGTTCTGACCATCCAGTGCTGACACTGCATTCCATTAGTTCCGCCAAAACCTGTTTAGTCAGGCACAGCTGATTTCTCTATAAGCTGTGTTTACTGACCTCAATGGTTGAATTTCCACGTTTAAGAGACATTTTTTTAAAGTGTCCAAAAATGAAGGGTGGGCTGGGGTAGAATAGGGTGAGAAGAGGATCAGCAGCCAGTTTGTTTCGATTAAAAAACAAATGTCATTTGTATTATACATTAGTTCCTAGTGACACCTATAAGAGCCCGCAGAGACTTCTCTGGCTAACTCGGCCTGCAGTCTTTCTTAAGTGCAAAATCAACCTGTGGTCTCTCAGAGTGCTAGGCACTCCTAAATGAACATTAGCAAAACATACTGGCTATGTTATTGTTTCTAAATGGTGTTTGTGCGTGCGCGTGCATGCACATACACACAAATGTATTTATAAAATCAAATGCACGTTTCCCAAACCAGTTTATGAGTTCTTCTATGAAAACCCTGCCTAAGGAGAGTGAACTCTCATGAGGTGGGCAGCATCTATCTACAATGGAGTCAACTATAGGGCAAGCAAGAACCTGTTCCCTGCAATTGTGTCTTTATGCTGGACAGTCTTAATCACAGTAATTATTATTGGAAAACTTTCAAAAATTATCTCAAAGAAAAAGTCATAGAAATAAGGATTTTATTTTTCCTTCAGTTGTTTTAAATCAGCTACACTAGGGTCTTCAGCCTTGGCTTTGGGAATTCTGGAAATTGAAGTCCACACATCTTAGAAGTTGCCAGATTGAAAAACACTAAGCTACACAACCAGGCAAATAAGGATGTGCAAAGTCCTCAACTATACTTCCCCTCTACTTTGGCATGATAAGCCTCTGTGCCATTTAAGTCTAAACATCTTAGTTTGCAATTTCACAAAGAGTCCTTTGTCTGAAGCTGCACTAAAATGGCTCTTAAGCCCCAGCCATCTACAGGAAGGAAGGAAGGCAGAAAAGCGGTTTCACCTGGCAAGGAGCACGCAAGAAGTGTTATATCTTGGGAAACTGGAAGTGATACTGCTTTAACTTGATCTTCTTCAACCTGTTACCCTCTGGATGTAATGGTTTTGCAATCTCTGGCAGCATGAAGAATTTATTTATTTAGTTAAGTTAGTTTGTCACTCATGTACAAGATAGTAGGAATAAAAATAAACTTGAATAAGAACACAGGAAATGGGTACAAATAAATGGGGACAGTAGGGCAGGGATGTTAAGCAATAGCAATAGCAATAGCAGTAGACTTATATACCGCTTCATAGGCCTTTCAGGCCTCTCTAAGCGGTTTACAGAGAGTCAGCATATTGCCC